GCGGCGAGAAACCCGTCACTATGGGCAGGGCGCCGGCCCAGGAGGCGCACGAAGGATTTGCCGCTCCCGGGCCCCCGAGGGCCAGAGCAGCGGCCAGCCCCAACGGCGGCCTCAGCAGCAGGGACGCGCCCGGGGCGCACCTGGTCACGGGGGCCCCACGGGCCCAGCCTGCTCTAAGAGGGCTTAGCAGCTCGTCGCAGCAAGTGAGGCCCATCCTCACGGAGTTCACATCCCAGTCCGAGACAGACGTCTCCACACCGAGATGAAAGCCACGTGGGGAGCGGACGCTGGGACAGAGCGCTGGGCGGGGGGCTGACCCCCTGACAGGAGAGGCAGGAAGGCCATGGAGAGGGAGGCGGGTGTGCTCTCAGCAGAGGACACAGCGGGCAGAGGCCCGAGGGACACGTCTGCACGGCGGACACACACGTCAAGGGCAGGCGACTGGATGGGGCTGAGTCCCGTGGACCCTCAAAGGGCACCAGGGGGCTTGGACTTCACTCCGCTGGTGACAGACCAGCAGCAGCTGTTTAGGTGCGGGAGTGATATGGTTTCTAAAGGTCACTGGTCCCCGCGAATAGTGGTCACTAAAGGCAGGAGCAGGGCCCGTGGGAGAGGGCGGAGAGGGAACCAGCGTGGACACAGAGGCCGGCAGAGCTGCGGCGGGCGGGGGCCAGCCAGTCCTCCCTCGGATCTAACAGAGACCCCCGCTCCAGCCTTCAGGAGCCCGTCTCCCCGTCGGCCGTGAGCGCCGGCACTGGGTCCTCCTCGCTGCAGAGCGTTCCTGGAGGACTGCCCGCGACAGCTGAGGGCAGGTGGGGAGGGGGGGATGCTTGACTGCCTTAGGAGGAAGGCCACAGGGAATTTCTAAAACAGAGAGAAACGAAAAGTGCCTAATGAACTTAAGTGAAAACAATCAGCTAAAAAGTTAAGATGTTGCCTCCAGAGGGGGAAGAGGCGCTGCTCCTCCTTCCACACTGAGCTTCCCGACCACACTCCGCTCCAGGAGGGCTGGGCGCCACCAGAGCAATGAACGTCCAGCCCGGAATCGCTCTTCTCAACCCTAAGCCCAAGCCTCTGGAAACACACCCACAAGACTGAAGGAGCACACGGAAAGACGGAATGTGACACGGATGAGGCCGGGAGCAGCCGTCCCCAGACAGGGGCGCTGCGCTTGGCCCAGAAGGCCACCCCATCTGTTTGCTAAAAGCAACTAAGCCAGATACTGTTTTAAGTTACAGCTGGTGTCTGGGCCACTTTATCAAGCACTTGAGACAGAGAGCTGATTATTTTTCTGGCAACAACGAAAACAGAAAGTCTGAAAGTACGCGGAGTCTGTCACCAGCTGTTTCCGGAGCGGTTCTTAAAGAGAAGAACCCATCTGGGTCGGGGCCAGAGACGTCCACAAGGGAGGCAGCAGTGGTTGGTCTTTTTCCTCTCGTTTTCCCCTCCTGCGTTTCGGTTCCTCGAGTCACGCAAAGTAAAACCCCTCAAGGAGCACCTTTCTGTGGCCTTTACGCTATTTCCAAAAGGCCCCTTAAAAAGGGACTTGGGTTAAAAGAAACATGTGTGTGCCGTGGTCTTGACCTGGTCTCTGGCCCCTTGCTTGGTTCTGGCTTCCCACACCAGGTCTCCCCCCACTGGCCTGCTGTGTGGCCAGAGCAAAGCCCCACAGCTCCACCCGCGCAGCCCCAGTCCCTCAGCGGTGGAGCTCTCGGAGCGCCGTGCAGAGCCTGACGCACAGAAGGCGCCCAACAAGCGGGCCATAACTGACCACTCACAGCACCTTCTCCCGAGACTCTGAGGTCCCCCCGAGACTGTCCCCAGGACAGTGATCACGGCAGGGGTTCCATAGCTGAGACCAGTTGTGGGCACGGGGGGGATGGGGAGCTGGCGCTGAGCCAACCGCTCCCAGACTCTCGTGTATTCGTGTAATTCAACACATCCGGGCAGGTCTGGGGCGGGAGAGCAGAGCCGGTGATGCAGGCACAGGGCTGAAGAGCCAAGCTACAGGGCCCAGGTGCAGGCACAATGGCCTCACGAGAGACCCTGAGGCTCGACAGGCAGGCAAGACCCCATCACTGGCTGTGCCATGGGTGGCCATCGACGGGTGGACCGGACACCACTCCCCCCGCACCTGTGGCGGTGCCCACACTAGCACCTGCCTAGCACTCGGTCACCTCGTGGGGGACACTTAACCAGGCCTTACATCAGCACCCTGCAGGTAGGTGTCCTTGTCACACACTCCACCCCAGACCTGGCTCCTGTTCCAGAACTGGGGTGGGGTAACAGCGTCCCCATCAGACCGCAGGGCATTGCTGCGAGAATTCGAATGCGGTGAGCGGCCACAAAAAGCCCTGAGGACGGCTGCAGCGCGTCAGCTGCTACCTTACAACACTCGTGCCGGGGGTCACGGGAGACTTTCATTTTCTTCTTCCTGTGCTGCTTCCCAAAATTGGGAAAAGAAAATTCACTTCATAGTAAATATAAACACTTTATGATAAAAATTATCACCTACTAAGATGTCAGCGTG